GAGGGTGAGTCTCATTCTGTCTCCCAGGCTGGGGTGCAGTGGCGTGATCTCCACTCACTGCAACCTCTTCCCAGGTTCAAGGCTTCAAGTGACTTGTGCTTCATCCTGAGAAACTGGGATTGCGGGTGCCAGTCACCCTGTCTGGCTAATTTTTGTATTTTTAGGTGAGCCAGTTTCACCATGTTGGCCAGGCTGGTCTCGAACTTAGGACGTAAAGAGATCCGCCTGCCTTGGATACAGGCTGAGGCACCGTATTAGGCCCTACTGTTTTTTTGTTCATTTTTGAGGAGGAATCCTGCTCTGTTGCCAGGTTGGAGAGCAGTGGAACGATCTTGGCTCATTGCAACCTCTGCCTTCCAGGTTCAAGCGGTTCTCCTGCCTCAGCCGCCCAAGTAGCTGAGACTACAGGCTCGTGCCACCATGCCTAGCTAATGTTTGTATTTTTAGTAGAATTTTTAGTAGAGACAGGGTTTCGCCATGTTGGCCAGGTTGGTCTCGAACTTTTGACCTCAGGTGATCTGCCTGCCCCGGCCTCCCAAAGTGCTGCAATTACAGGCACGAGGCCCCACACCTGGCCTCAGCTGTCTTTTTCAGCTGAGTGGGTTCCTTCATTTGGGGGGGGCCATAAAGTCAGATGAACCAATTAACAGATCTGGGTGGGGCCAGGTGATGAAGTGCAGAGTCTGTAAAATACCTCTAAGCCCTGACCTTAGGAGCCCTTCAGAGAGAATCACTTTTTTTTTTTTTTTTTTTTTTTTTTTTTTTTTTAGACGGAGTTTCGCTCTTGTTACCCAGGCTGGAGTGCAATGGCGCGATCTTGGCTCACCTCAACCTCCGCCTCCTGGGTTCAGGCAATTCTCCTGCCTCAGCCTCCTGAGTAGCTGGGATTATAGGCATGCGCCACCATGCCCAGCTAATTTTTTGTATTTTTAGTAGAGATGGGGTTTCACCATGTTGACCAGGTTGGTCTCGATCTCTCGACCTTGTGATCCACCCACCTCGGCCTCCCAAAGTGCTGGGATTACAGGAGTGAGCCACTGCGCCCAGCCCTTTTTTTTTTTTTTTTTTTTTTTTTTGAGACGGAGTTTCGCTCTTGTTACCCAGGCTGGGGTGCAATGGCGCGATCTCGGCTCACCACAACCTCCGCCTCCTGGGTTCAGGCAATTCTCCTGCCTCAGCCTCCTGAATAGCTGGGATTGCAGGCACACGCCACCATGCCCAGCTAATGTTTTGTATTTTTAGTAGAGATGGGGTTTCACCATGTTGGTCAGGCTGGTCTTGAACTCCTGATCTCAGGTGATCTGCCCATCTCGGCCTTCCAGAGTGCTGGGATTACAGGTGTGACCCACTCTCCCTGGTCTGAAGGTCAGAATCTTGTAGCCTCCAGCTGTGTGACTCCTAAACCATAATTTCTAATTTGTGGCTGATATGTTAGTCCTACAGTTTAGTCCTCAATCAAGTCTAGTCCTCAGCCAACCCTTTTTGGGAAAGGGCTGTTACCTTTTTTTCTGTTTGTTTGAGAGAAGTCTCTTGTCTCCCAGGCTGGAGTGCAGTGGTTTAATTTCAGCTAATGGCAACCTCCGCCTCCCAGGTTCAAGCGATTCTCTTCTCCTGAGTAGCTGGGATTACAGGCACCTGTCCACCATACCCGGGTAATATTTGTATTTTGAGTAGAGATGGGGTTTCAACATGTTGACCAGCCTGACCTCAGGTGTTCCGCCCGCCTTGGCCTCCTAAAGTGTTGGGATTACAGGTGTGAGCCACCGGCATCATCTTTGTTTTAAACTATAAATTCCTCCGAAAGTTAGTTCAGCCTACACCCATGAATGAACAAGGAAGCAAGATGGAGTTGGTAGGTCAGCTGTTTTTCACTGTGTCAGTTACAATTTTGCAATGGCCGGTTCACTGGAAGAGTTTCTTTGCAAAATAACCCAGCATCAAATGCCATGGCACTTACTAACTGGAGTCATGGATGTATTTCTAGAGTGGACCCGGGTCCAGTTGACAGTGTGCCCCCTTGTGTCCCCTGTTCTTAGGAAACGGGAAGGTTGGCCTGTGGCTGCTGATGCTGGCCCCTGTTAGCAATATCATGCTATTGCTGCCTCAGAGAAACGTCTGGATTCAAATATAGATGCTTCTCAGCTGACAATGAGGTCGCATCCTGGGAAATCCATTGTATGTGTGTGTGTTTTTTGAGACAGAGTCTCAAATGCTTGTTGCCAGGCTGCAGTGCAGTGGCAGGATCTTGGCTCACTGCAACCTCTGCCTCTGAGATCAAGCAATTCTCCTGCCTCAGTCTCCCAAGTAGCTGGGAGTACAGGTGCGCAACACCACGCCCAGCTGATTTTTGTATTGTTAACTAGAGATGGGGTTTCACCATGTTGGTCAGGATGGTCTTGATCTCTCGATCTTGTGATCTGCCCGCCTTCACCTCTGAAAGTGCTGGGATTGCAGGCGTCAGCCGCTGCACCTGGCTATTTTGACACGAGTCTTTAGTCTCCCAAGCTGGAGTGCAATTTTTTGATCTTGGCTCACTTTGACCTCCACCTCCTGTGTTCAAGTGATTCTCTTGCTTCAGCCTCCCGAGTAGCTGAGATTACAGACACCCACCATCATGCCCGGTTGATTTTTGTATTTTTAGTGGAGGACAGAGTTTCACCATGTTGGCCAGGCTGGTCCCAAACTCCTGACCTCAGGTGATCTGCCCACCTTGGCCTCCCAAAGTATTGGGATTACAGGCATGAGGTACTGTGTCCAGCCTATTGTTCTTTTTTGGCAGGGGTGGGCAGTGTTTCACTGTCGCCAGGCACAATCTTGGCTCACTGCAACCTCTACCTCCTTGGTTCAAGCGATTGTCCTTCCTCAGCCTCCCAAGTAGCTGGGATTACAGATGCCTGCCACCACGCCAGGCTAGTTTTTGTTTTTTGTTTTTTTTCTTGAGACGGAGTTTCACTCTTGTTACCCAGGCTGGAGTGCAATGGCACGATCTCGGCTCACTGCAACCTCCGCCTCCTGGGTTCAGGCAATTCTCCTGCCTCAACCTCCTGAGTAGCTGGGATTACAGGCACGCGCCACCATGCCCAGCTAATTTTTTTCGTATTTTTAGTAGAGACGGGGTTTCACCATGTTGACCAGGATGGTCTCGATCTCTTGACCTTGTGATCCACCCACCTCGGCACACAGGTGTGAGCCATCGCGCCCAGCCTTAATTTTTGTATTTTTAGTAGAAATGGGGTTTCTCCATGTTGTTCAGGCTGATCTCAAACCCATGACCTCAAGTGATCTGCCTGCCTTGATCTCCCAAAGTGTTGGGATTACAGGCATGAGCCACCATGCCTGGCCAACCCATTGTATGTTGAAATGTTAAAAATAAATAAAAAATGCATTTAGTATCTGGGTTGGGTAGCCTTGACCTCTAGTGCACAGGTGATCCTTCCACCTCAGCCTCCTAAAATGCTGGGATTACTGTCTTCCCAAAATGTTGAACTTTTAAGAGAAGTAATAATTCTTATTTATTCATCTCTGACATGGAGTCTTGCTCTGTCGCCCAGTTGGAGTGCAGTGATTTTAGCCTGGCTAATTTTTTGTATTTTAGTAGAGGAGGGGTTTCACCATATTGGCCAGGATGGTCTCGATCTCCTGACCTTATGACTGGCCTGCCTTGAACTTCCAAAGTGCTGGGATTACAAGCGTGAGCCACTGCGCCGGCCATAACTCTTATTACTGATGAGTTACACTTCATGGATTTATGCTATTTTAAGCTCAGTTACGTGGACATGGTAACAGTCGGGGTGAAGGTTCACTTGGCAAGGGGATGCCCAGGAGCATGCCCTGGGTTTGCTGTGCAGATGGAGCAGAGTGATTCACTGATCACATTACTTGAGTGGTGGTCAATGAGGAGGGCATGTGGATTTACAGCAAGATCTGTGAAGATGTCATCCAGGGTCGGACACGGTGGCTCTGTAATCCCAGCACTTTGGGAGGCGGTGGTGGGTGGATCACTTGAGGCCAGGAGTTCAGGACCAGCCTGGGCAACATAGTGAGACCCCCCCCCACCAAAAATTTAAAAAAATTAAAAAATCAGGCAGGCGTGGTGGCACATGCCTGTAATGCCAGCTACTGCGGAGGCTGAGGTGGAGGATCACCTGAGCCCAGGAGGTTTCGGCCGCAGTGAGCCAAGGTCGCCCCACTACGCTCCAGACTCCGTCTCAAAATAAATAAAAATATGTAGGGTCTTGTGTCTGATGGTGGCAGTCTGATCTGTGGTGGTTGAACATTGGCTTTGGGTTTATGCCTACCTGGCCGTGAATCTCAGCTCTGCCCTTTGCTAGCTTAAGTGACCGTGGGTGGGTTACTTACTGTTTCTGAGTCTTAGTTTTTTCACCTGTAGAATGGGGGAAAATAATACATGTTAGCTCCCAGTGTTGTCAGTTAGCACATACTAAGTCTCAGTCAAGTGCTCGCTGTTTTATCCTCAATTTTGAGACGAACAGGACCCTGTGAATGACAACCCTGGAATGACCTTATTTGCATTTTAAGTATTTAGAATGGGGGTAACAGTTTTCAGAAGATGAAACTGCTACGTAGGGATTAAAGCAGTCCCAGGGTCCACCCCAAGAGCTGCCATGCGCCCTCAGCCGCAGGTGAGCCATCCATTCTCGCATCTGGCGCTCCGGAAAGGCAGGAAGCGGGAGGAGGCAGAGCTTCAGCCATGCTTCTCGCAGCTTCAGCACCAGGGTCAGAGGAGAGGCGGGCGGGGAGTCCGGAAGTCGGCCTTTTTTTCCGTCCGCTTGACCAGCGTCCACTACAGCCAATCAAGTCAGGGGACTTCGGTCGCTAAGCCAATGGCGAAGCCGCATCCGGGTGCGGGGGCCGAAAAGGCAGATGGGGGTGGGGCATCGAGGTGCGCCACGAGCGGCGGCACGAGCGGCGGGCGGACTGGCCAATAGGCGGCGGGGTCCGCTTCCCAGAGGCGGGCGCTGGCGGGTACGGTGACGCCGGCGCAGGCGCGTCGCGGCGGCAGGGGCGGCAGGGCCGCAGGAGGAGGCGGCAGTGGCCAGCGCGGCGGGGCCGGGCCTGTGGCTGACAAGGGTGAGGAACGGGCTTGGACGGAGGCTCGAGGGCTGGGTGGGACCGGGACGGTGCTCCGGCGGCCCGCGGAGAACGGGGGAGGGAGACACCCTGAGGGGCCAGTAGGTTTGGGGACCAGTCTGCGTGGTCGAAACGGAGAAGGGGCTCGTCCGGGCCTGCCGAGGGGTGTGGCGGCCCCCGCGATGCTGGAGCGAAGCCTTAGGGAGGGAAGGCCTTGGGAGGGATTCTGCGGACAGACTTGCGCGGAGATTGCGGGCGAGAGGGGGGCGGAAGACGGTGGAGACTCAGATGGGGCCTCTTTGGACGCCGGTTTTTGAGGGTGGGAGAGACTGCGGTTGGGGGAATTTGATACGTGGGACGGGGAGGAAGACGTTAATCTTTCGAGGACGGTGGAGGTCGGCCAAGTGGGGAGGCAAAGGTGGAGCTTGCAGGAGCGTGGAAGGCGTCGTTTTTGGAAAATTCAGATTTGGAGGGAGTGAGAGATGATGGGGGCGGGGGCGTTTTATTGATAAGGGTCTTTTTTTTTTTTTTTTTTTTTTTTTTTTTTTTGAGACGGAGTTTTGCTCTTGTTACCCAGGCTGGAGTGCAATGGCGCGATCTCGGCTCACCGCAACCTCCGCCTCCTGGGTTCAGGCAATTCTCCTGCCTCAGCCTCCTGAGTAGCTGGGATTACAGGCACGTGCCACCATGCCCAGCTAATTTTTTCTATTTTTAGTAGAGACGGGGTTTCACCATGTTGACCAGGATGGTCTCGATCTCTCGACCTTGTGATCCACCCGCCTCGGCCTCCCAAAGTGCTGGGATTACAGGCTTGAGCCACCGCGCCCGGCCCGATAAGGGTCTTAAGAGACCTGCTGAGGGCAGGGACAAGGAGGGGTTAAGGTGGTAACTTAATTTGGGAACTTTGACCGGAATCGCAGCACTTTGGGACGCCGAGGTGGGAGAATCGCTTGAACCCGGGAGGCGGAGGTTGCAGTGAGCCGAGATCGTGCCACTGCACTCCAGCCTGGGCGACAGAGCGAGACTCCTCCAAAACAGCAGCAGCAACAACAAAAGAAGTGGACTTGAGAACTTCGATAAGACACTGACCAGGGAGTAAGGGAGCCCTGGGATTTGGGGTTGAGAGCCTGGGGAACTTGCAGGAATGCTGGGGGACCTCGGCTGAGCAGGTTGGCAGAAGTCTAGGAGGGAGAGGCAAAGAAAGAACGCAGGCAGCCTCGGGAAAATCAGAGTCATGTGTCTGGAGGGAGTTCTGCTGGGTGAAGGTGGTCCATTTGGGCTGTTACCGACCTTTTAGGCCTTGGAGCTCCAAAAGAGGTGACATGACAGGACCCAGCCCACTAAATGCTGCCCCTCTGTGAGGAGTTTGGAGCTACAGAGTGGAGAGGTGGGAGGCTTTTGTTTGGTGGGCAGCTCTGTCCATTTATCTAGGAGATGTGGGTGATGTCTCATTTCCTCCTTTCTCTTTCCCTGTCTCCTCCAGGGTCATCGTTAGGGGACTCCTGAGGTCCTGTCCCCAGGCTGCGGTGACTGCACTTTCCCTGGAGTGGAAGCTGCTGGAAGGCAGACCAGCCACCATGTCCACGTTCCGGCAGGAGGACGTGGAGGACCACTATGAGATGGGGGAGGAGCTGGGCAGGTGAGCTGGGCTGGGCTCCAGGGATAGGAGAGAGGCGCTGTGGGATTTTCTGAATGGTAACTCTCCTTTCCGGTCCTTTATGCTGTATCCCAAGGAGGAGTGAGTCAGTATCATGTGCTGGTGGAGTGAATTTGGGTCTTGGAGTCAGACAGCCCGGCTGTGAATTCCTGCTTAGGAATCCTCTGTGTAGTTTATTGTGGGGAGGAAAATAATTGAGCCATGACAGCAGCCAATACCATGCCTGGCATGAGGCACCAGAACTGTAGATGCCAGCTGTTTTTGTTATTAAAAGATCTGTTGGCCGGGTGCAGTGGCTCACGCCTGTAATCCCAGCACTTTGGGAGGTTGAGGCGGGCCTTGGATCATGAGGTCAAGAGATCGAGACCATCCTGGACAACATGGTAAAGCCCAATCTCTACTAAAAAAAAAATATATATATATATATATATATATATATACACACACAAAAAGTAGCCCCTCGTGGTGGCATGCACCTGTAATCCCAGCTACTCCGGAGGCTGAGACAGAAGAATTGCTTGAAACTGGGAGTGGAGGTTGCAGTGAGCCGACATTGTGCCACTATGCTCCAGCCTGGGTGACAGAGCAAGACTTCGTCTCAAAAAAAAAAAAAAAAAAAAAAAAAAAGATCTGTCTTCTGCCTGGGTAACATAGCAAGACTCCATCTCTACAAAAAATAAAGATGAAAAAAAAAATTAGCCGGCCGGGCACGGTGGCTCATGCCTGTAATCCTAGCACTTTGGGAGGCCGAGGTGGGTGGATCACCTGAGGTCAGGAGTTCAAGACCAGCCTGGCCATCATGGAGAAACCCCATCTTAAAAAAAAAAAAAATTAGCCAGGTGTGGTAGCCTATCCATGTAGTTCCAGCTGCTAGGGAGGCTGAGATGAGAGGATCTCTTGAGCCCAGGAGTTGGAGGCTGCAGTAAGCTGTGATAGTGCCACTGCACACTGCAGCTGGGACCATAGAGTAAAACCTCATTTATTAAAAAAAAAAAAAAAATTCTCCCTGTGTTAATCTTTTGTGGGAGACACTTTTGTTTTTTCCCAGCTCTTGCATGTTTAAGGTGGGGGGAGGAGGGGCAGTGTCTCCCAGGGGCCCACACCTCAGTCGATTGTTTCACCTTCTTGTGGGAAAAAGCAGAGGTTTCCTCTTCCAGGGCGGCAGCTGATTTCCTGCCTGCCTGGGCCTTGGAGGTTCCCCTGGGACCCCACCCCTTCCAGGCCAGCCAGGCTCCACTAGGCCCTGCCTCCTTTTGTAGAGCCTCCAGCCTTATTTGGTGAGTTTGCTGCGGGCCAGCCTCCCTGGAGCCGCCCCGTGATGTCATCAGAAGGGAATGTAAATGATTGAGCCCTGCTTCAGGCCCGGGAGAGTGCTGCAGGCTCTTTCAGGATCCTGAGGTCCTCTTACTGGAATTTCCTCCTTTAGCGGTGGAGGAGGCCCGCCCCTCCTCCCACACAGGCCTCTCCGATTCAGTGTTGAAAATGTATTAGGACTACCTGCATTTGGCAACGGTCAGCAAAATTCAGCCAGATTGATTATTTCTTTTAACCTGCTGATTTCACCTGTAGGAGTCAATTCATGGGAAAAACGTGCATACATCATGAATGGAAAGACTTGGGGGGTAGTTGCTAGAACAATGTGCACCAGAACAACAGCTTTTTTTTTTTTTTTTTCTTGACACGATCTCATTCTGTCGCCCAGACTGGAATGCAGTGGTATGATCTCTGCTTACTGCAGCCTCGGCTTCCTGGATCCCAAGGATTCTCCAGCCTCAGCCTCCTGAGTAGCTGGGATTACAGGCATTTACCACCACACCCAGCTTATTTTTGTATTTTTAGTATAGATGGGGTTTCTCCATATTGGCCAGGCTGGTCTCGAACTCCTGACCCCAGGTGATCAGCCTGCCTTGGCCTCTCAGGGTGCTGGAATCACAGAGTTGAGCCACTGCACCCTGCTGGGAACAACAGCCTCTTAAATGGCCCTTCTCAAACCACTGTATGGGGTGGAATAGGATGCTACGCTTTTTTTTTTTTTTTTTGAGACAGAGTTTCGCTCTTGTTACCCAGGCTGGAGTGCAATGGCACAATCTCGGCTCACTGCAACCTCTGCCTCCTGGGTTCAGGCAGTTCTCCTGCCTCAGCCTCCTGAGTAGCTGGGATTACAGGCATGCACTACGATGCCCAGCTAATTTTTTGTATTTTTAGTAGAGACGGGGTTTCACCATGTTGACCAGGATGGTCTCGATCTCTTGACCTCGTGATCCACCCGCCTCGGCCTCCCAAAGTGCTGGGATTACAGGCTTGAGCCACCGTGCCCGGCTAGGATGCTACTCTTAAAGAGAACCAGGCAGTGCCGGGCATGGTGGCTCATGCCAGCGCTTTGGGAGGCCGAGGTGGGAGGAGCGCTTGAGCCCAGGACTTCAAGACTAGCCTGGGCAGCATAGGTAGAGCCCATCTCTCAAACAAACAAGTTCATAATTTAAAAAATATAGGCGGGCCGGGCGCGGTGGCTCAAGCCTGTAATCCCAGCACTTTGGGAGGCTGAGGTGAGTGGATCACGAGGTCAAGAGATCGAGACCATCCTGGTCAACATGGTGAAACCCCGTCTCTACTAAAAATACAAAAAATTAGCCGGGCATGGCGGTGTGTGCCTGTAATCCCAGCTACTCAGGAGGCTGAGGCAGGAGAATTGCCTGAACCGAGGAGGCAGAGGTTGCGGTGAGCCGAGATCGCGCCATTGCACTCCAGCCTGGGTAACAAGAGCGAAACTCCGTCTCAAAAAAAAAAAAAAAAAAGAAATTATGGGTGTGTAGGCCACGCTTGTGTCATATCTGGGTCATGGCAGGCCCTTAGGAAGTGGCTTGAGAGTGACACCTGAGATCATCATGGAGGGCCTGCTGTGCACCCACCTGCACTAGGCTGGGGAAGTTTCAGAGAAGGGAGTGGGTGGGCTTGGCTCTCCGGGAGTTTCTCTCCTGGTGAGGGAGGTCAGGCACCTTTCACGCCCCAGAGAGGAACTGAGACTATGCTGCGTGGCCTGGCCTCTCAGGAGCAAGTCTGCCTGTGGCCAGCGAGCCCAGGAGCTGTCTGGAGGTGTGCTGCTTTGTTCTGGTGTTGTAGGACTCAGTGGCAGAAACTGAAACTCCATTGGCAATAGCAGAACAGGGAAAGGCGTGGTTTACAGAACTGGGATGTGCAGTGCCTGCAGGTGTGGCTGCATGCTGGTGTGCCATGCCCTGTGTCCCTGGGGCCGAGGTCCACCCCAGCATGAAGGCTGCACCCTGGCAGAGTGAGTGCCAGGGCTACCGTGCCATCCGCAGCGCCTGGTCGCGCCCCTCTCCTGACCTGGTCTGTTAGACCAGGGGGCCCATGGTGCCCCCTGCCACCAGCCCAAAGCCAAGTCCTGGAGAGAGAGAGAGAGAGAGAGAGACAGAGACAGACAGAGACAAACAGAGACACGCTGTCTTCCCAGCAGGCGTTCAGAGCTGTGTGGGACTGGACTAGTCTCTTTGGGCTGGAAGGCGTGGTTTTTCTCCTTGCCCAGGTCCAATCATGTCCTCTCCCACCCCTTTCCTGGGCCACTGAGTCCCACAGGCTGAGAGTGAGCGGTGAAGGCTACTCCGGGTGCAACATAGGTAGATGCCATCTCTCAAACAAACAAATTCATGATTTAGGAAACATAGCCCAGGCTCACGCCTATAATCCCAGCACTTTGGGAGGCTGAGTCTGGGTCTGTTAGCAGGAGACAGGCCTGAGCCAGGAGCTGGGCAGGCAGGAACCCAGTGCCCCCCACCAGGTGCGCACCTCCTGTTAGAGCACATGGGCTCTGGAGCCTGCAGCACCTGGTTTGAAGGTTTGAATCCCCCCCCACCCCCACTGCTGATGGGCTGCATTACCTCAGGCTAGATGCTTTCCTTTTCTCAGCCTCAGTTTGTTTAAAATGCGGGTAGTGGCTAGGTGCAGTGGCTCCACCTGTAATCCCATCATGCGGGGAGGTGGAGGTGGGAGGATCTCTTGAGGCCAGGAGTTCCAAACCAGCCTGGGCAACACAGCAAGACCCTGTCTCTACAAAAAAATTTAAAAAGCCGGGCACGGTGGCTCACGCCTGTAATCCGCGCACTTTGGGAGGCTGAGGCAGGCGGATCACCTGAGGTCAGGGATTCGAGACCAGCCTGACCAACATGGAGAACCCCATCTCTAAAAAAATAAAATAAAAATAGGCCGGGCGCGGTGGCTCACGCCTGTAATCCCAGCACTTTGGGAGGCCGAGGCGGGTGGATCACAAGGTCAAGAGATCGAGACCATCCTGGTCAACATGGTGAAACCCCGTCTCTACTAAAAATACAAAAAAGTAGCTGGGCATGGTGGTGTGTGCCTGTAATCCCAGCTACTCAGGAGGCTGAGGCAGGAGAATTGCCTGAACCCAGGAGGCGGAGGTTGCGGTGAGCCGAGATCGTGCCATTGCACTCCAGCCTGGGTAACAAGAGCGAAACTCCGTCTCAAAAAAAAATAAAATAAAATAAAATAAAAATAAATAAATTAGGTGTGGTAGCATGTGCCTGTAGTCCCACCTACTCGGGAGGGATGGCTTGAGCCCAGGAGTTCGAGACTAGCGTGGGTAACATAGTGAGACCTTGTCCATACAAAATAAAAATTTAAAAATTAACTTGGTGTCGTGGCATGTGCCTGTTATCCCAGCTGCCTGAGAGGCTGAGGCAGAAGGATTGCCCGAACCCAGGAGGTCGAGACTGCTGTGAGCCATGATTGAACCCCTGCACTCCAGCCTGAGCAACAGAGACAGACACAACTGCCTTGTGGGGTCAAGTTGGAGATGAATGGAAATGACAGCCTGGTGCTCTAAGACAGCCTGGAACCCCCGTGCCCAGCTGAGTCTTTCACTGTTGTTGGGAGAGAGGGTCTCACTCTGTCTCTGAGGCTGGAGTACAGCTCACTGCAGCCTCAGCCTCCCAGGCTCAACGGATCCTCCTGCCTCAGTCCCTGAGTAGCTGGGATTACAGGAATGTGCCATCTTGCCTGGATAGTTAACTTCTGTAGAGTTGAGGTCTCACTGTGTTGCCCAGGCTGGACTCGAACTCCTGGCCTCAAGTGATCCTCCCATCTCAGCCTCCGAAAGTGTCGGGGTTGCAGGCACAAGCCTCTGTGCCCAGCCTCCTTTTTATTTGTTAGTTCAGCTTGGAATAATGCTAGAGGGATAAAATCTGCATGTTTAAAAAGGAGGCAGCCCGGCCGGGCATGGGGCTTCTGCCTGTAATTCCAGCACTTTAGAAGGCCGAGGTGGGCAAATTACTTGAGGTCAGGAGTTTGAGACCAGTCTGGCCAACATGGCGAAACCCTATCTCCACTAAAAATAAAAAAAATTAGCCAGGCTTGGTGGTACATGCCTAGCTACTCAGGAGGCTGAGGCAGGAGAATCATTTGAACTCAGGAGGCAGAGGTTGCAGTGAGCTAAGATCCTGCCACTGCACTCCAGCCTGGGTAACAGAGTGAGACTCTGTCTCATAAAAAAAAAAAAAAAAAAAAAAAAAAAAGGAAGCAGTGGACCTGGCGTGGTGGCTCACACCTGTAATCTCAGCACTTTGGGAGACTGAGACGGGCGGATCATGAGGTCGGGAGATTGAGGCAATCCTGGCTAACACGGTGAAACCTGTCTCTACTAAAAATACAAAAAAATTAGCTCGGTGTGATGGCACGCACCTGTAATCCCAGTTACCTGGGAGGCTGAGGCAGGAGAATCGCTTGAACCTGGGAGGCGGAAGTTGCAGTGAGCCGACATTGCACCATGGTGCTCCAGCCTGGGTGACAGAGCAAGACTCCGTCTCAAAAATAAATAAATAAATAAAAGGAAGCGGCACATCCAGGGATTTCTGCAGCGTTCTTGGCATGTGGGAAACACTGGGTTTTGGTTGCTGTGACCACTTGGTGGGTGCAGACAGAGGGGAAGCAGGAAGGAAGTCCAGGTGCAGGGAGCGTCATAGCAAAGACGGCAGCAGCTGGGAGCAGAACCTATGCTGGGGACATTGAGTTTCACGCCGGCCAGGCCGGTGAGCCAAGTCTGATCAGTTCCGCCACCTTGCTTTGCTGCCGTGTCCGTCCTGTAGACCCTGACCGAGCTACAGATGAAAGCAGTGCTCAGACACAGGTGTGCAGTGACAGAGCAGCTGGGGGCTGCTGGCACTAGTGGTTGAAGGAGAGAGAGCAGCCCCGAACAGCTAGATAATTTAGTACAGATAATGCCGAAAGCGTGCAGTCAGCACAGTCTGTGGTCAATTAACCTTAATGTTCCAGCATTAAGGCAGTCTGCAGCCCCTGGACGATCATAAACAAACCCCGTTTAGATAAATTCCCCTGCACTGCCTTACACCTACTCCTTGCCCTCTGCCTTCAGTTGCTTCTCCCCCAAAGCTTTGCAAAACCTCCCCACCTTTCAAGAAGATTTGTGTCCTTTCTCTGTGATTTCTCCCGCCACGCTGACCGGTCTCCTCCTCTTTCCTCCGCCCTCTGCCCTGGGCTGTCAGCCAGCACGAGGCTCCTGCAACTGCAGGAGCAAGTCCCAAGTGAGTGCCCTGCATGACCGTGCCTTCTGTCGCGGGTTCCGAGTCTGTGGTGGACCTACAGGGCTGGCCCATGCAGGAGGTCCGCCCCTCCCAGCATCGAGAGGCACCTGCTTGGCTCTCAGGGACCCCTTTCTCCCACTTCACAGCCACAGCGCAGCCTCTTCCAGTCTCTGACATTCACCTTTTGAGGACGCTGTGAGATCACGGGCCCGGATCCCCCGGGATGTGCTCCTGTCTCCAGATCCTGGCCTCATCCCCACTGCTGAGCCCCTTTCGCTTTTGAAGGCACCTTTGTGGCCAGTCCCAGGGGCTAGCATACAGATGATGCCCTGAAGCCGTTGGTGTGTTTGGTCTACCCTACTCTCAGTAATCATTTGACACCACCCCTTGCCCCCCTCAAGTGTCCGTGCCTCTAACACCTTTGTGTTCCTGGTGGCCTGCCACGGGGGTTTGTTACCAGCATACCCCGACGTGGGTCTTGGTGAGGTGGCAGTGAGCACACGTTACAAGGACTGGCCCACGCCCAGCCCGTGCCCATGACCTCGCACCTGGAGCAGGATTGAAGAGCTTGGGCCGTTTGTGTCTGGCATGACGTCCTTGAGGTTCTAAGGAGCTGTGGCCTCTGTCAGAGCTTGTTCCTGTTTGCGGATGGGTCAGGCTCTGGTGTGTGACAGGACACGCTGTGTTGGCCGCTCTTCCATTGGTGGGCATCGGAGCCGTTTCCATCTGCGGCCGCTGTGGCAGGGCTGCTGTGAGTGTCCCTGTGGAAGTGACTGCCTGGGTATGTGTGTGCGCGTTTCCCTCCGGGAGGTATGGGAGTGGAATTGTGGGTTATGTGGAAACTCCGTTGAAGCTTCTGAGGGGCCAGGGTGTTTCCACACCATTTCTGATGACGGCGCGGGCGGCGCCAGGCCCACGTCCTCAAGTCTGGTCTCATCTGGTGAACATGCGCCTCTCATTCTCTGTCCGCTGACTCCGGAGCTCTTTGAAGTCAGTGGCGTAGGGTTACAAAAATGGTAAAATGAATTTCGCTGTGACTAGTTGAGTCAGGATGGAATTGTACCCATTAAAAGCAAAACCTGGCCGGGCGCGGTGGCTCAAGCCTGTAATCCCAGCACTTTGGGAGGCCGAGGCGGGTGGATCACGAGGTCGAGAGATCGAGGCCATCCTGGTCAACGTGGTGAAACCCCGTCTCTACTAAAAATACAAAAAATTAGCTGGGCATGGTGGCGCATACCTGTAATCCCAGCTACTCAGGAGGCTGAGGCAGGAGAATTGCCTGAACCCAGGAGGCGGAGGTTGCGGTGAGCCGAGATCGCGCCATTGCACTCCAGCCTGGGTAACAAGAGCGACACTCTGTCTCAAAAAAAAAAAAAAAAAAAGCAAAACCCTCCTTCTGCGCACACGCCCTGAACCCCACTCCCGGAGGCCTGCTGCGGACAGGCTGCTGTGTAGCCTCCCAACCTTTCTAAGTGAAAGACTGTGTTCTCCGCTGCACTGGGTGGGTGGCGTCATGCAGGTCTCCGCTTGTCCACGCGTGAAGAGCCGGTCTCTTCTTTGTTGTGACTGGGTACAATTCCCCTGGATCTGGCATCACATCTCCCAGCTCCCACTTACTGATTTCAACCGGGTTTCACCATGTTGACCAGGATGGTCTCGATTTCTCAACCTCGTGATCCACCCGCCTCGGCCTCCCAAAGTGCTGGGATTACAGGCTTGAGCCACTGCGCCCGGCCTTTTTTTTTCTTTTTTAAAGAGGCAAGGTCTCTATTGCCCAACCCAGAGTACAGTGGTGCGATCACAGCTCACTAGCCTTGAATTCCTGGGTGTAAGTGAAAGTGATTCTGCTGCCTCAGTCTGCCAAGCAGCTGGGACTGCAGGTATGCACCACTCCACACCTTGCTCTTTTTTTTTTTTTTTTTTTTGAGACAGAGTCTCACTGTGTTGCCCGGGCTGTAGTGCAGTGGTACAAGCTGTGCTCACTGCAACCTCTGTTTCCCAGGTTCAAGCCATTCTCCTACCTCAGCCTCCCCAGTAGCTGAGACTACAGGCACCTGTGACCACGCCTGGCTGATTTTTGTGTTTTTCATAGAGACTAGGTTTCACCATGTTGGCTAGAGTGGTCTCGAACTCCTGACCTCAAGTGATCCACCCACCTCAGCCTCCCAAAGTGCTGGGATTATAGGCATGAGCCACCATGCCTGGCCACCTTGCTCATGTTTTAATATTTCTTTTCTGTAGAGATGGGGTCTTACTGTGTTACCCAGGTTGGTCTTAAACTCCTGGGCTCAAGCAATCCTCCCTCCTCAGCCTCCCAAAGTGCTAGGATTACAGATGTGAGCCACTGCACCTGGCTCAGTTCCCTCTTATTTTATTTTATTTTTTTTAAAGATGGGGTTTCACCATGTTGGTCAGGCTGGTCTTGAACTCCCAACCTCAGGTGATCTGCCTGCCTTGGCCTCCAAAGTGCTTGGATTACAGGCGTGAGCCACCACACCCTGCCCCCCTCTTTATATTTTAAATTTATTTATTTATTTTTTTGAGACAGAGTCTTGCTGTGTTGCTCAGGCTGGAGTGCAGTAGCTCAATCTCATCTCACTGCAACCTCCGCCTCCTGGGTTCAGGCAATTCTCCTGCCTCAGCCTCCCGAGTAGCTGGGATTTCGGGCACCTGCCACCATGCGCAGCTAATTTTTTGTATTTTTGGTAGAGACATGGTTTCACCGTGTTGGCCAGGGTGGTCTCAAACTCCTGACCTCAAGTGATCTGCCTGCCTCGGCCTCCCAAAGTGCTGGGATTACAGGTGTAGGTGTGAGCCACCACGCCTGGCCCCCTCAGTTTCCTCTTGATACGCGTTGAACTCTTCATGTTTTCACTTTCCAACGCATGGTGTCATGTGTGGCTCTGCCCTCGCCTCCGCACACGTGCTGGGCATAGCCCTGGGAGGGTGGGAATGCTGGGTGCTGGGGAGCTGCTCTCTGAGGAGGCCGCACTCCCCCAGCGGCACGCTCATGTCCTCCTCCCATGTGGCCGGTGCAGGGCTGCGCCCAAAGGAGCAGGAGGCCGAGATGGGGAGCCAGCCACCCCCTCACCTCCCTCCCCTCCTCCAGCGGCCAGTTTGCGATCGTGCGGAAGTGCCGGCAGAAAGGCACGGGCAAGGAGTACGCGGCCAAGTTCATCAAGAAGCGCCGCCTGTCGTCCAGCCGGCGTGGGGTGAGCCGGGAGGAGATCGAGCGGGAGGTGAACATCCTGCGGGAGATCCGGCACCCCAACATCATCACCCTGCACGACATCTTCGAGAACAAGACGGACGTGGTCCTCATCCTGGAGCTGGTCTCCGGTGGGGAGCTCTTCGACTTCCTGGCGGAGAAGGAGTCGCTGACGGAGGACGAGGCCACCCAGTTCCTCAAGCAGATCCTGGATGGCGTCCACTACCTGCACTCCAAGCGCATCGCGCACTTTGACCTGAAGGTGAGCCCCGTGGGCCGGTGTGGCCAGTGTGGGCCGGCAGGGGGAGCCTGGAGGGCACCTCCTGAGTGTGGGGTGAGACCGGGGCCTGTGCGTGCTGCTCACCCCTCCTGCCCCAGCCAGAAAACATCATGCTGCTGGACAAGAACGTGCCCAACCCGCGCATCAAGCTCATCGACTTTGGCATCGCGCACAAGATCGAGGCGGGGAGCGAGTTCAAGAACATCTTTGGCACCCCGGAGTTTGTGGGTGAGGCCCTGCCCGGGGGCGGCCCTGGCTTGGCGGGGGTCGTCTGGGGCTGCCTGCTGGGCATGGGGCAGGTCGTGCCCAGTCTGTGTCCACGGCCCTGCGGCTGCCCCTCTCGGGCCCAGCATTGCGGGAGGTCAGCCTCCGTTTGGTGCGTCCCTGCCCACCTGTCCCACCTGTCAGGCCCAGAGAGCCAGCCCTGCGGAATTCATGCCCCCAGGGGCTATGATATGCGAGAGAGAGTCTTGACCCCATGTCTGTTTCCTGAGCCTGGAGACCTGTGTCCTGATCCTCTTCCTTTGCCGGCGTGTCCTCAGCGCCTTACCCACATCTCCCTGTTCCACAGCCCCAGAGATTGTAAACTACGAGCCGCTGGGCCTGGAGGCGGACATGTGGTGAGTGCGGTGTTCCCTCCACCCAGGCCTCCCTGCTATCCTGGTTCGCAGGCGGCTGCCGCAGCTGGAGACAAAGTGGGGCCTTGCTGTTGCTGGGGTGCGGGGGGACTGTTGCCCTAGAACAGTGGTTGGTGGGCTCCTGCCCGAGGCCCAGGTCTAGCCTGTGGGTTGAGAACGGTGTTCACGTTTTCAAACGGCTGTTAAAAACAGATGAGTGCTTGACCATGACACAGTGGCCGCAGACCCTAAGCAATCACAGTGTCACCCTTCATGGGAGAGCCTGCCAGCCGCCAGAGGCCACCCGACGCCCCACGCAGGGTCACCCGGTGTAGGTAGCTGCCTGGGTTGCTTGGCCCATTTGTCCATCTATGACCATGGTGCCCTCTGCTCTGTCCGCACCCCTGCCTGGTCTGAACTTGGGCAGGTGGCTGTGACCAAAGGTGCTTGTAGCCAGGGCTGATCTCCCCAGCCACTCACCCCTTTGGAACACCATGGTCCTTGGAAGGGTGGGTGGCCCCGCACGGTGCTGACCTTTGCCTCTTGTCTCCCCAGGAGCATTGGAGTCATCACCTACATCCTGTGAGTACCTGGCGGGGACCGCTTAGCTGCACAGAGCAGCTGGTGTGAGTCCTGGGCTCCGTGTGTTTCTTGCAGATGCCAGGGGTCCCCAGCCTGGCTGTGACCCATCTTGGGTACTCAGTGGAGACTGGGTGAATAGATGAGTGATTCTGTGGGGCTGCTGTCACAGAGGCTTCCGGAGAGTTCTGAAGGCAGGACACAGAGCGGCTGAGCAGGCCCTGGGACAGGGGTGTGTGTGTGCCCCTGTCCCTTCCTGTGGCTGCTAGGGAGTCCAGCCTCCTCCCAAAGTGCGAGGAGGGGACCCGACCGCAGGCTAGGTTTTGACTTCGCTCCCTGGACCACACATGTGCCTGCCATTGTTTATTATTTTGTTTGTTTATTATATTTGCTCTATTGCCAAAGCTGGAGTGCAGTGGTACAGTCCTAGCTCACTGCAGCTTCCACCTCCTGCACGCGCATGCCACCATGCTCGGCGGATTTTGGTTTGTTGTTGTTGTTTTTTTTTTTGAGACAGAGTTTCATTCTTGTTTCCTAGGCTGGAGTGCAATGGCATGATTTCAGCTCACTGCAACCTCCGCCTCCTGGGTTCAAGCGATTCTCTTGCCTCAGTCTCCCTAGTAGCTGGGATTACAGGCGATCCCACAACGCCCAGCTAATTTTTGTATTTTTAGTAGAGACAGGGTTTCACCATGTTGGTCAAAGCTGGTTTTGAATTTCTGACCTCAGGTGATCTGCCTGCCTTGGCCTCTCAAAGTGCTGGGATTAGAGGCGTGAGCCACTGCGCCCGCCGGGTAATTTTTAAATGTTTGTAGAGGTGGAGTCTCACTACTTTGCCCAGGCATACTGAATGGGCATAGCTCATTCAGCAAGCAAGGAAATGAACAGTGGTGGGCGCCCAGCCTACCATAGCGCATGAGCAGACCCAGAGGCCTCAGGAGCTGGAGATGGGCTTTTTTTTTTTTTTTTTTTTTTTGAGACGGAGTTTCGCTCTTGCTACCCAGGCTGGAGTGCAATGGCGTGATCTTGGCTCACCGCAACCTCCGCCTCCTCGGTTCAGGCAATTCTCCTGCCTCAGCCTCCTGAGTGGCTGGGATTACAGGCACGCGCCACCATGCCCAGCTAATTTTTTGTATTTTTAGTAGAGATGGGGTTTCACGATGTTGACCAGGATGGTCTCGATCTCTTGACCTCGTGATCCACCCGCCTCGGCCTCCCAAAGAAGATGGGCTTTTTACACGGTTTGTGTATATATATATATTTTCGAGACAGGGTCTCACTCTGTCACCCAGGCTGGAGTGCAGTGGCGCGATCTTGGCTCACTGCAACCTCCACCTCCTGAGTTCAAGTGATTCTCTTGCCTCAGCCTCCTGAGTAGCTGGGATTACAGGTGCATGCCACCACGCCCGGTTAATTTTTATATTTTTAGTAGAGACGGGGTTTCACCATGTTAGCCAGGCTGGTCCTGACCTCCTGACCTTGTGATCTGCCTGCCTCAGCCTCCCAAGGTGCTAGGGTTACAGGCATGAGCCACCATGCCTGGCCTGTATTTTTTTATAAATGTTCCGATAATTTCGGACTTATAGAGGGGCAACAGAAACAGCACAGAGTCCCCCTGCACCTTCTCCAAACCTCTTTCAGTTCACGTCTGTCGTCGTTTTTTGAGATGGAGCCTCGCTCTGTCACCCAGGCTGGAGTGCAGTGGCGCCATGTCAGCTCACTGCAACTTCCACCCCCGGGGTTTAAGTGATTCTCCTGCCTCACCTCCTGAGTAGCTGGGATTACAGGCGTGTGCCACCATGCCCAAGTAATTTTTAGTAGAGATGGGGTTTTCTTTTTTTTTTTTTTTTTTTTGAGACAGAGTGTTGCTCTTGTTACCCAGGCTGGAGTGCAATGGCACGATCTCGGCTCACCGCAACCTCCGCCTCCTGGGTTCAGGCAATTCTCCTGCCTCAGCCTCCTGAGTAGCTGGGACTACAGGCACGCGCCGCCATGCCCAGCTAATTTTTTGTATTTTTAGTAGAGACGGGGTTTCACCACGTTGACCAGGATGGTCTCGATCTCTCGACCTCGTGATCCACCCGCCTCGGCCTCCCAAAGTGCTGGGATTACAGGCTTGAGCCACCGCGCCCGGCCGTGGAGATGGGGTTTTCACCATGTTGGTCAGGCTGGTCTCGAACTCCTGACCTTGTGGTCTGCCTGCCTCTGCCTCCCAAAGTGCTGGGATCACAGGCATGAGCCACCGCAGCCAGCTAGTTCACATCTTTCATGAACGCAAATGTTACGGACACCAAGATGTAACCTTGGTGCTACGCTAGTAACAAAATTGCCAGACATGGTCAGACACCCCCGGGTTTTCCACTCAGGTCCTCTCTGAGGTCCACGGCCCTATCCAGGAGCCCACATGGCATTTAGCCACTCAGGTCCTTAGCTAAGTCTAGTCTGAGGCTCTTCCTCCATCTGGCTTTGTCCTTTGTGACCTTGACTCTCTGATAAGCACTCACTGGTCAGTTGTTTTGTGGAAGGTACCTGAGTGCATGTTCGTCCCATGTGCTCTCATGATCACATGGGGCTTCAGCGTCTCTGCTCAGTAGCCCAGGGATGGCCTCCAAGCATCAGGTCAGGAGGCAGGCGCCGTCGGTGCCTCTTGCTACCGGGCTTTGACCTTGATCCTTTGGCTAAGCTGTTGTCGGCTGGGGCTTCCCCTGTGGTTACCGTCCTCCCCTCAGTGTTACTGAGCTGTGGGGGCTTTCAGGCTCTATGTCTGCATGGATACTTTGAGTTTCCAAGGAGGCTTCTGTCTGTTCATTTATGCTGCCATCAGTGACGGATGTTGGGTGTGGATTTTTTTTTTTTTTTTTGAGACGGAGTTTTGCTCTTGTTACCCAGGCTGGAGTGCAATGGCGCGATCTTGGCTCACCGCAACCTCCGCCTCCTGGGTTCAGGCAATTATCCTGCCTCAGCCTCCTGAGTAGCTGGGATTACAGGCACGTGCCACCACGCCCAGCTAATTTTTTGTATTTTTAGTAGAGACGGGGTTTCACCATGTTGACCAGGATGGTCTCGATCTCTCGACCTCGTGATCCACCCGCCTCGGCCTCCCAAAGTGCTGGGATTACAGGCTTGAGCCACCGCGCCCGGCGAGTGTGGATTTTTAATGCCTCTTGGGTGGTGGCTGGGATCATTGCCGGAAGGTTTTAGGGGCTCAGGAGTGTGAGTGGCCTGGCTACCTGCCATCGGCCTGTCCTCTGTGCTCTGCCTGTTTTGGGCAGGATGGAGTTGGGGGCAGCCGGGGAGGCGGTGTGGTCGCGGGAGCCCAGGACCCCACTGAGCGCACCCATTTCACAGCCTGAGCGGTGCATCCCCATTCCTGGGCGAGACCAAGCAGGAGACGCTCACCAACATCTCGGCTGTGAACTACGACTTTGATGAGGAATACTTCAGCAACACCAGCGAGCTGGCCAAGGACTTCATTCGACGGCTGCTTGTCAAAGATCCCAAGTATGAGGGGCTAGGCAAGAGCGTGGGGCAGGACGTGGGACATGGGACAGGGGCCCTTTCCACCTGTGGAGGCTCCAGAGACCTCTCCTCCTAGCGCCACCTTCTTGCGGCTGGAAATCAGGCATGGCTTCCCCCTTGGGCCGGAGAGCGCAAAGTGCTGGCTGAAGTTAGCCCTTGCTGGGTTTTTTTTTTTTTTTTTTTTTTTTTTTTTTTTTTTTTGAGACGGAGTTTCGCTCTTGTTACCCAGGCTGGAGTGCAATGGCGCGATCTCGGCTCACCACAACCTCCGCCTCCTGGGTTCAGGCAATTCTCCTGCCTCAGCCTCCTGAGTAGCTGGGATTACAGGCACGTGCCACCATGCCCAGCTAATTTTTTGTATTTTTAGTAGAGACGGGGTTTCACCATGTTGACCAGGTTGGTCTTGATCTCTTGACCTCTTGATCCACCCGCCTCAGCCTCCCAAAGTACTGGGATTACAGGCTTGAGCCACCGCGCCCGGCTGGGTTTTTTTTTTTTTAATTTGAGACGGAGTCTTGCTCTCTTGCCCAGGCTGAAGTGCAGTGGCGCCATCTAGGCTCACTGCAACCTCTGCCTCCTGGGTTCAAGCAATTCTCAAACCTCATCCTCCTGAGTAGCTGGGCTTACAGGCACCTGCCATGCTCAGCTAAGTTTTACATTTTTTTTAGTTGGGACAGGGTTTCACTGTGTTGGCCTGGCTGGCCTTGAACTCCTAACCTCAGGTGATCTGTCTGCCTCGGCCTCCCAGAATGCTGGGATTACAGGCATGAGCCACCACGCCCAACGTTGCTTGCTGTGTTTTTGACAAACTTGTAATTAGTTGCTAGTGTGTAGAATCAGGATCCATGTAAAATTCCAGCTGGCTTGTTTTCCTGTGAACACTCAGTGCTGAGTCCTCACTCGCAGCCCCTCTGGGCCTCCCCAGCCGCCAGCCCCTCTCACAGGCGCCTGGGTTTGCGACTGCAGCCTGAGGTCTCAACTCTCTTCACCACCCTCCAGAAAACCCTGCGCTCCTTGCAGTCCCCTTCTTCAGCTGCTGCGGTTGACTGAGCAGAGGCTGGGGGGTGACTTTAGGGCTTTTGGGTGTCCTGGGAGTCAGTTGTCTGTGGGAGGACAGAACGGATGGCTCAGGTGTAACTAACCGGGGCGGGGGCCTTCCAGGCGGAGAATGACCATTGCCCAGAGCCTGGAACATTCCTGGATTAAGGTAAGGAGGGCAGAGGTTCCCTGGACTTCCCACCTTGGCCTTCTCGCCAGGGTCCTGGTGGCCATTATAGCATTTAAGGATTGTGGCTGTGACACCCCCAGTGGCTGGGGAGGGTCCCCAGAGGAATGGGCCTGGGTGTCAGGGGTCCTCGCACTGGGAGGTGTCGGAGTTCGGGTCTTGAGTGTGGGACGTTGCCACCCCACAGACCTGGTGGCATCCTTGGCTGGTCTGTGTCCAGCATAGCAGACTCCCCGGAGATGCCTAGGCCGGCTTTTCTCCAGTCAGTACTTTTGGCTTTACGTTGGGCCGGAGAGTCTCTGTCGTGAGGCCCTGACTCCGCTGCCCCTGAACCTCAATTCACACTGGCAGATGGGGGCTGGCGGGGCTGGATGTCACCGCAGGCCCCCAGCTCAGGCCTCCCTCTCCCCCAGGCGATCCGGCGGCGCAACGTGCGTGGGGAAGACAGCGGCCGCAAGCCGGAGCGGCGGCGCCTGAAGACCACGCGGCTGAAGGAGTACACCATCAAGTCGCACTCCAGCATGCCGCCCAACAACAGCTACGCCAACTTCGAGCGCTTCTCAAAGGTGCTGGAAGAGGTGGCGGCGGCCGAGGAGGGCTTGCGTGAGCTGGAGCGCAGCCGGCGGCTCTGCCACGAGGACGTGGAGGCGCTGGCCGCCATCTACGAGGAGAAGGAAGCCTGGTACCGCGAGGAGAGTGACAGCCTGGGCCAGGACCTGCGGCGGCTGCGGCAGGAGCTGCTCAAGACCGAGGCGCTCAAGCGCCAGGCGCAGGAGGAGGCCAAGGGCGCGCTGCTGGGGACCAGCGGCCTCAAGCGCCGCTTCAGCCGCCTGGAGAACCGCTACGAGGCGCTGGCCAAGCAGGTGGCCTCCGAGATGCGCTTCGTGCAGGACCTGGTGCGCGCCCTGGAGCAGGAGAAGCTGCAGGGCGTGGAGTGCGGGCTGCGCTAGGCACACGGGTAGGCCGGGCCCTGGGATGGCTGGAGCTCAGCCTGGGGTTGGGGCGCCTCCTGTGGACACTGCTCCTCCACCCGTTGCCCCTGTACCAGCCCTTCCCCAGTGCCCCCAGCCTGGAGGTGGAGTGGGAGCAGCTGTCCCGTAGGTTTGTAAGTTCGCAGGCAGGGGTGGGTGTGGGACGGGGTTGCTTCTCTGTGCAGCTTCTACACTGGGCCTCCTCATTGTGCCTGTGTCATCGGTGACACCGGGCAGCACGGCCTTGGGTGCTGTGAGGGTTGGGACCCAGGACTGGACCAGCCACTGTGTTGCCGAGACAGCAGTGGCCCGAGTGCAGCCCTGGTCCAGGCCTGGAGGAGGGAGGAGGGTTCTCAGGCAGTTCGGAGGGGTGCCACCTGCTGCTGCCTCTAGCCCAGGAGGAGGTTGTGGGATGGGGAGGGTAGGGTGGATGGCGGGCTGGAACCCAGCTGGAACTGCTGCTGGGTGGTGCCAGGCTTTGGGACCTGCAGAGGGCTTGGTGGGGTCTTCTGCCGTCCCAGCCGAGGCCCGTCCCCCGAGTGCAGAGGTCCGTTGCCTCGGACCCTTGCATGAGCCCCATTTTCTCACACTCGAGCACAGCTAGGCAAGAGTGGCCCTCTGCGGCCAAGAGAAATAAAACCCTGGCTTCCTGATACTCAGCGTGTTCTGTGCTTCAGGCCTTGGCAGGGGACAGCCAGCCCTTAGTCACCAGGCATGTGCCCTCCGAGGCTCTCATCTTTCTCTCTGGGTCCCCAGCCTGCTGCTGTGCTCCTCTGGAAGAAGGGGACAATCCTGGGGGCCTTGCAGACCCACACGGTGTCTTGGGAGTTGCTGGATCTTGGTCTCAGCCGCCCCTGGGTGTTTTGATTGCAATGAGATGGGAGCTCCGGGCAGCTAAGGGGGATCAGAGGCGTTTCCTGTCCCCTTGCGTCTTGCGGGATTCTGCCGCGTCCCACGTGGGAGCCCCTGCCTTGCCTGGAGCCACATGCAGCTGGCCTTGGAGCAGGAGCGGCTCAGCTAAGCTGCTGGGTCTGACATGAGGTTTCAGAGAGGAAGAGGGGCCCCGATCCTGCCCATCCTCCCTGGAGGAGGTGGTGGTTTTTTTTTTTTCCTTCTGTGATGTAGTCTTGCTCTGCTGCCCAGGCTGGATGATCTTGGCTCACAGCAACATCCGCCTCCTGGGTTCCAGGGATTCTCCTGTCTCAGCCTCGCAAGTAGCTGGGATTACAGGCACCCACCACCACACTTGGCTAATTTTTGTATTTTTAGTAGAGTCGGGGTTTCACCATGTGGGTCAGGCTGATCTTGAACTCCTAACCTCAGGTGATTCACCCGCCTTGGCCTCCCAAAGTGCTGGGATTATAGGCATGCGCCACTGTGCTCAGCCCATTTTTTTTTTAGCTTTTAATCTTTTTCATTGAGATATGATTCACGTACCCTAAAATATTCTTTTTAAAGTGTACAATTCAGTGGTTTTAGTACATTCACAGAGGCAGGAAAATGTACATCCACACAAAGACTTGTATGTGAGCTAGGCATGGTGGGGCTGCCTGTGGTCCCAGCTACTCAGGAGGCTGAGGCAGGAGGATCACTTGAGCCCTGGAGGTGGAGGCTGCAGTGAATTGTGATCCTGCCACTACACTGCAGCTTGGGTGACAGAGCAACGCTTTGTCTCATAAAGAAAGAAATGCGTAGTGCATCTCGTGATGCCAGCAAGAAGCATATTAAGACAGTGGACCAGACATGTCTTCCTCTTTCCGCGCATCTCATCTGGCCCCGTGGGCAGCATGGATGCCTTAGAACTCCCAAGGGTCGACAGGCACAGTGGCTCACGCCTGTAATCCCTGCACTTTAGGAGGCCAAGGCAGGCTTATCACCTGAGGTCAGGAGTTCGAGACCAGCCTGGTCAACATGGAGAAATCCCGTGTCTACTGAAAATAAGAAAAATTAGCTGGGTATGGTGGCGCATGCCTGTAATCCCATGCCTGGAATCGGGAGCCTGAGGCAGGATAATTGCTTGAATCCAGGAGGCGGAGGTTGCAGTGAGCCAAGATTGCGCCACTGCCCTCCAACCTAGATAACAAGAGCAAAACTCAAAACTCGTCTCAAAAAAAAAAAAAAACAAAAACTCCCGAGGGGCACCTGCCACAGAACCACTGGGAACCGCAGCATGGCTGCAGAGGAACCCTATGGGGACACAGCCACTAGGTGGCACCAGGGAGGCTGACCCGTTCAGTGCCCTGTCTCTGCAGCTGGACTCTGCCAGGGGTGTCCAGGAGGACACTCGGCTGGGTGGCCAAGGGTGGACAGAGCAGCTGAGGGATTGAAGTACCTGGGGCTCAGACAGACGCTTGCCCACCCCTGTTCACAGCAGCACGACTCAATAGCCAAAGGGTGGAGGGAACCCAGGCGCCCATCCCCAGATGAGTGGAGAAATGACCTGTACCTCCTGCAGTGGAACATGACTCTGCCTGAAAAGGAATCCTGACACAGGCCACAGCGTAGATGCAGCTTGAGGATGTCACACTCCGTGAAAGAAGCCTGGCACAAAAGGACAAACACGTAGGGCGCAGTGGCTCACGCCTGTCATCCCAGCACTTTGGAAGGTGAGGAGGGCATATCACCTGAGGTCAGGCGTTTGAGGCCAGCCTCACCAACATGGAGAAACCCCATCTCTACTATAAACACAAAACTGGCCGAGTATGGTGGCTCATGCCTGTAATCCCAGCACTTTGGGAGGCCGAGGCGAGTGAATCACCTGAGGTCGGTAGTTTGAGACCAGCCTGACCAACATGGAGAAACCCTGTCTCTATTAAAATAATTTAAAAATTTGATTAAAATACAAAATTAGCCAGGCGTGCCTGTGCATGCTTGTAATCCGAGCCACGCGGAAGGCTGAGGCATGAGACTCACTTGAATCTGGAAGGTGGGGGTTGTGGTGACCTGAGATGGCACCATTACACTCCAGCCTCGGGGACAAAGTGAGATTGTCTCAAAAAAAAAAAAAAAAAAAAAAACCCACACACTATGATTCCACTCCTAGGAGAGCCATCAGATTAAGAGAGACAGAAAGCGGGATGGGGGTGCCAGGGGCTGGGAAGGTAGGTGGAGAGTGTTTCAGGAGATGGAGTTTCGGTTTGGGAAGGTGAGAAAGTTCCAGGAATGTGGCTGGACTTGGTGGCTCGGCGCTTTGGGAGACGGAGGCAGGAGTTTGAGACAAGCCTGGGCAACATAGTGAGACCCCTGTCTCTACAAAAAGTTAGAAAATAAGCTGAATGTGGCGGCCCATACCTGTGGTCCCAGCCTCTAGGGAGGCTGAGGTAGGAGGATCACTTGAGCCCAGGAGGTTGAGGCTACAGTGAGCCATGATTGCACTACTACAACCTGGGCAACAGAGTGAGACCCTATCTCAATAAATAAATAAAGACCGGGTATACTGGCTCATGCCTGTCATCCCAGCACTTTGGGAGGCAGGAGAGGTCACTGGAGGCCAGGAGTTCAAGACCAACCAGAGCAACATGATGAAACCCTGGAGTAAGACCCTGTTTCTCTCTCTCTAAAAAAAAAATATATATCAGGCTCGGTGGCTCACACCTGTAATCCCAGTACTTTGGGAGGCTGAGGCGGGCGGATCACAAGGTCAGGAGTTCAAGACCAGCCTGACCAACATGGCGAAACCCTGTCTCTACATAAGGTACAAAAATTAGCTGGGCGTGGTGGCGCGGGCCTGTAATCACAACTACTTGGGAGCCTGAGGCAGGAGAATTGCTTGAACCCCGGAGGTGGAGGTTGCGGTGAGCCAAGAGTGCGTCATTGCACTCCAGCCTGGGCGATGGAGGGAGACTCTGTCTCAAAAAAAAAAAAAAAATAGTTATGTAAGCCCAGCCTGCGCGGTTCTGCTTTAGGACTCTGTGCTGAATGAGGCAGTGGTGAGCAAGGTGCACAGCCATGAGTACATGCTGGGAGCGGCTGCACTGTGTAGCTGAAGTGGTTACAGTGGTACATTTTCTCTTTTGTGTATTTCTTTTTTCTTTTTTTTTTTTTTTTTGAGACGGAGTTTCGCTCTTGTTACCCAGGCTGGAGTGCAATGGCGCGATCTCGGCTCACCGCAACCTCCGCCTCCTGGGCTCAGGCAATTCTCCTGCCTCAGCCTCTTAAGTAGCTGGGATTACAGGCACGCGCCACCACGCCCAGCTAGTTTTTTGTATTTTTAGTAGAGACGGGGTTTCACCATGTTGACCAGGATGGTTTCGATCTCTCGACCTCGTGATCCACCCGCCTCAGCCTCCCAAAGTGCTGGGATTACAGGCTTGAGCCACCGCGCCTGGCTGTATTTTTTCTAAGATGGAGTCTCACCCTATTGCCCGGGCTGGAGTGTAGTGGGGCAGTCTCAGCTCACTGCAACCTCTGCCTCCCAGGTAAAAGCAATTCTCCTGCCTCAGCCTCCCAAGTAGCTGGGCTTACAGGCACCCGCCACCACACCTGGCTAATTTTTTTGTATTTTTAGTAGAGATGGGGTTTCACCATGTTGGACAGGCTGGTCTTGAACTCCTGATCTCAGGTGATTCCCAAAGTGTTGGGAGGCCCCTCAGGTCAGCCTCTCTGGTCATTTCCGGAAATTAAGGCCTTGGAAGCGCAGCAGGGCTCCAAACTCATGCTTACTCCCAGCCCTTTTCCTGGAACCAGCAGAATATGAACCCTGCTGGGGAGGGGCAGAGCAAGTTCTCCAGGAGGCTAGGACCCTGGGGATCCCGCTGCTGGGAGCACCTGCCCATACTCTGGCTCAGCCTTCCTCAGTGGGGTGACCTTGAGTGCCCGGGCCCGTCTCTGGCCTTCCTCTTGGCATCTGAGAGGGGGCTGGTGCCCGTGGGGTACTCAGTGTTGTGGAGGACACCCCAAACAGTTCATGTTGGGTGGCAGTGGCGTGCAGCAGCTCCAGGGGCTCTCAGTTCCACCAGACTCCCACTCCACAGCAGGCTGGGCCTGAGTTCCACGGGCAGAGGGTCAGATGGGGGCACTTCCCCACCTCCGGGTGTCCCCCACAAAAATACTCAAGTCCTAACACCTGGTACCAGTGAATAGGACCTTATTTGGAAATAGGGTAGGTGTCATGAGTTGCCATTCAGACACAGAGGCAGTGAGTTACAGTGACTGATGTGCTGCAGGAGGGTGGGCCCTCATTCAGTGACAGGCGTCCTTATAAAGAGGACTGTGGGGGCTGCTTACAGCACAGTGGCTCATGCCTGTGATCCCTGCACTTTGGGAGGCCTAGGTGGGTGGATCACCTGAGGTCAGGAGCTCGAGACCACAGCCTGGCCAATATGGTGAAACCCCATCTCTACTAAAAGTACAAAAATTAGCCAGGTGTGGTAGCACGCTCCTGTAATCCCAGCTACTCCAGAGGCTGAGGCAGGAGAATCCTTTGAACCCAGGAGGCGGAGGTTGTAGTGAGCTGAGGTTGCACCACTGCACTCCAGCCTGGGTGACAGAGCAAGACTATGTCTAAAAAAAAAAAAAAAATAGAAAAAGTAGGGGGAAAGAGATAAGTTACAACAAGGAGAAGCAGGACTCGGCCCAGCCACAAACCCACTGAGGACAGAGGGCTGTTGGCCTAGGGGTGGCATCTGCAGGGGTGGAGGAGGCCATCGGGGCCCT